ATTTTAGCTTCTTATTTACGTTTCTGGGTTGATTAACATTTAAAAAAAATAATTTGGTGGGATTTGGATTCGTTTTCAGAAATAGTGGAATAATTTGAAAGGAAATAATCTGCAATATTAGGACAGTTTACTGTTTTTCCCTCATGTTTATTGCAGCTGGGGCTCAGCCATCTGTATTCTATGGATGGTTGCTTCCCTATAAGGCTGTAATTCCATTCTGAAAAAAATATTACGGCATTTGGAGATGCATTATGTGAAAATGCATCGTCTAGCTCTTCCCTATTACTGGTGCATTGGCTTATGATGAACTAGATGCCAGTGCTGGGCTGCTAGCTATGGTCTTGTAAGGGTGAGCTCGTCTCTGACCCCAATTCTTTCCTTCAGCCAGAAATGTTCCAATTCAAACACGTACAGAAAAGTTTCTCGACTAAAATCCTGCTGTGCGCGGTCAGACAGAATAATGACCGTGCTGATTCATGTAACTTCAGGGGGGAAAAAAATAATAATCTTGATTAATCTTTGGCTGGAGGAGTAAGGTAAGCTTTTTTAATATTGTGGCCTGAAAAAGGAAAAGAAAAGGAAAAAAAAAAACCACCTGCAAGGCTTGAAGAGCTGTCTCTCTAGATGAAAATCTGTCTCTACTTTAGGAGGACTGTGATAATTTTTGATGGATTATAAGGACTATTTTTTTTCAGCTTCAGGGTACTATGGCCTTGGTTACATATGTTTTTCTTAATTTTGAGGTACATGGGGTAGAAGCAATCATAGGATGTTTAACTCCTACTGACTAATTTTTCTTAAACTAACTCCCCAGCTGAATTATGGATCTTTCATCACACACTGGAGTTGTTCGGGGAGTTCCTAGGCTTCAGGATGGATATTCAAGTCCCGAGCTGCTTTGTGTTTAAATTCAGACAAAGAAATTTTCAGCAACATCTGAAGGAAGCAATGTTTATTTTCCAAAAAGCGTGTTCAAAATTTTTTTTTGAAATGTTTTCCTAAAATGCAGTACCTCCGCTTGAGTTGGATGCTCTACAGGCAATTTTTGTGCCTGTAGCCATGTACTGCATGAGTTGCAACAGAAGTCAGAGCGAAGGACTTGTTGAGAGGTATCTTCAAGTGTGGAGCATAGAGTTTAGGGGGAAAGAGAAGATCAAGTAAGCGCAAAAATAGTGAAATGTGGCCTTTTCTCATCAGTAAGAATTTACTGTCTTTCAGAATGCATTGCTTCTGGTGAGAGTAAATGGCAATAAAGAGCAATTGAGTGCTGCAAATTGGTCCATTGAATAATTCAAAATAGTTTAAAATGACATAATTGACTTAAAGATGCCTAATCAACCCGTCTAATGCCTCAGAGGTTCCCTGGGGCTTTATACTGATGGATCGGGTGGGTTGTTCAATGTGGTCAGTGCTGCTGCTCCTCATCTGTTTGTCTGGTGGAGTTTGCTCATCTTTGTAACGCTACTGTGTGTGGCTTTTGGTTTTCTTACTGCCTTTCCGTTCCCAAACATTTCATTTGAATAAATTGAGAAAAATGGGAATTGCCCTTTGCACCAACTCCCAGATTAGTTGAAGAAGCGACTCGGTGCGTGGAGCTGGTGGAGCTACTGATCTATGGAATGATTTCAGCCGGATCCTTCTAGATATATTTGGATATATCTCAAAGCAGGGAATAGGTAACTCATGAATTGGTATCGGTGCGGGCTCCAGTACCACGTTTTCATTTGTGTTGATGATTCAGAGGAATCCTTAGGAAGTTGTTGTATCCTCCTGAACACCTAAAGACTAGAAATAAAGCTAGAAAAGAAACGGTGGCTGCTCTGACCAGTTCCTATCTCGTTGCCCAAGGGAAATTAGTTGCAATGAAAAAATCTTGGTTCTGAATAATGTCAAAAAGGCTGGCGAGGAGATAGCTCGCAAAACTGGAGTGAGCTGGAAGTGCAGCTCAGCACTTGGGGGAAATCCAGAAGTGGTTTTCCCTTGTAAAGACAGGCATCGTGCCGTGTTAAAAGCAAAAAACCTTTAAACGGTTTTGATAACCGTTGCAGGAGGAATACTGCTTTCGTTTTGAGGCATCTTAATTAAGGAGGCAGTGGGGAAATGTAGAGAAGCTGCAGTTGAGAATGGTGAAATTGGGAGCAGTATAAAAGGGAGTTGGGGGGAAAGGCTGAGTTTAGCTAGGCAAACCGGTGTCTGCTGCTTTTACGGTCTGCAAGTTTCTGAACGATGAAAGTGCAAGAGGAAGAAGAGAAACAGAGGTTGTACAGGCTGATGTAACCACGTGTAATGGGGCAGGGTGGGCAAGGGGGGGGGTCAGCTGCTGTTGGGATGACTCTTCCCCCATAAATCCTGATCAGAAACATCACGGCCAAGAGGAGAAGCTGAAATCGTCTCGCTCGGGACCGATAAATTGAGGCTGCCCGGAGATCAGGGACATGCATCTTAATGAACGTTTCTTCCTGAGCAGGATGAGCTAATTGTCTTCGGTGCCCTCTGGTTTCCCTGGCTCAGATTCACATTTGTTGGATTTAAGTGTCGTTACAAGTAATTGGAGTTAGATGTGCAGATCAGAGGAAGAAACAGGCTGTGTCGCTTATTAGCTGAAGGAATGAAGTAATTAAATTTGTCGATTCGAAGACACTTTCCTTCCCTGTCCTTAGAAAACACTGACCCTGCAGATTTTTGATGCTGAACTGTTCGTTTTAATTTTGTGAGTTGATGTTCTCTGGAGCTTTGATGAACTGCTCTTGAAAAATGTGTGTTTAGAGAAGGAGAAGGAAGGAAACGGCCTTTCAAGGGGTAAGGTGAGCACCTGATTTCTCTGTTCACCCTGTGTCTGCACGAATGGGACATGGTGGTGTATTTTTCATTAAAGAAAAGGAAAAAGAAAAACCCCAAACACCAACTTTTAACAACAAGTAACAAGTTTTCCAATCTCAGAATATACATTGTTGTACCCTGGCAGAGAAAATGGGGGGAAGAAGGATGAGATGTCTAAATTGCTCTTTTTCTAGCATCTTGTCACTAGGTTAGAGTTCTGCATATTCCTCCTTCTTCTCATAGAAGAAACAACTCTTTCCATGCAGTGCTAGACTTTGGGGCTAATCAGAAGAAATTGCACCCAGTTTCATGCAGTGCTTTCAATTAAAGTAAATAAAATTGGATGTGTTATTTAAACATCAATTAAGAGGGTAGCTGGAAGATACTTAATGTTGTCGCTCTTCAAGGAAATGGGGAATTAATCACTGGAAACAATGGATGGATGCAGAGGAGGCTTTTGTATAAATCTCTTCAATTAGATTTCATCGTTGGGGGGATCATGAAGTTGATGCTGGGGACGACCGGTCCTCCTGATTACAGCTCAGCTAACGCTGAATTAAGGAGGGATGGCCAGCCAAGGTCTCCCCATCCCAACAGGCAGGACAGAGATGCTGGATGGAGGCATGGCTTTTGCTGCTATGTACGGAAGGGAAGATGACCCACCACGTGCTGCTGGCGATTGCTGTGGTTATAGGAGACGTCGCTTACACACGTGGAGGTTTGGAATTTAAAGCCCGAGTAATTGGCACGAGGAAATTGGAAATCCAGAGATGATAACGGCAGGACTGTGTGTGCTGCGACAGGCTGTTCCTGCCATCAAGTTTAATGTTGTTCTACGTCTGTTTAAGGCACAAAGTGATTGGGAAAAGTGATCTCATTAATACGTTTGCTGAATCTTCTAGTCATCAAGTGCTACGGTTTGTTACAGCAAGGGGAAAGCACGATAGAAACATCTCCTTGCCCTAAATTGGAGCTGTAACTAATGTACAAAATCCAGCTCAGTTAATTCCATATTAATTTCTTTTTGTCTGAGTAATTCCTCTTTGCGCTCCCCGTCCCACTTGCATTTAGGAGATGCCTGAACGCAGAATGCTGGTTCCAGGAACTCATTACTTTTTGAGCATCTGCAAAGAAATATTAGAAGTTCACTGCAACAAACGGGGTTTAAGGGACAATGAGCCTCACCAGCGACCCACATCCTGCTGCCAGGTTTGGGTAGGGAAGAGCCATCTTCAGAACAAGTAAAGGGGCTAAGTTTTAATTGAAAATGACAACCTAAGTGCTAGATATAGGCTAGAGGTTTCCCTAGAAATCCCAGCCAACACCAAAATTCTTGTAGGTGGTGTATATTTGAAAGTAGCAGAGAATTCTCATGTATTGGCTTAATTTGGAAAAAAAAAATATGACACTACATTGTAGCTTTACATAGTGATGGATTACAGAGCCCAAAATAAGAAACGTACTGAAATTCTTTGGTGGGATGCAGGGGAAGGAGCGTGGTTTTGCTGTGATGGGTGGCTGTGAAGTGATGCTTTTGCAGAGTTCTAGCTAAATAAACCACGACAGCATAGACTAAATGCAATGAAAAATAAGGTACCACGCCGTCTCGGGCGCGTCTCAGCTGGTGAGCTCCAGCTCGTGTGTTATCTCAAAGTCATAACTGGACCGAGACAGAGTTGGTAATGATTTGTTTAAATTTTCACAGCGAGACAAGAGCTGAGTCGAAGAGAATTACCCAAAGTCCAGGTCTGCTCCTCACCCACCAGCTGCTTCACAAAGCACAGTGTGTTCTGCAGCGCCAGAGGAATGTCCTCTGGCCAAATTGGTGTTAAACTGTGTGGAGCAGGATGGAGCTCTTGCTCCAGTGTTGTTTTCTGTTGATTGTCATTAGACATATCAGCTGGTGTCTTGCTTTTGTGCTTTTTCTGTCTGTAAATCGAATAAATTTTGTTCAAGAAGCATCTCCTCCTCCCAACCTCCTTGTCTAGACCTTTGGTGAAAGGAGCACCATGAAGGTCATAGTTAGAGGTTCAAGACCTGCGTTTTCTTTTTAAAATTGTGAGAATTATGGAAAGTTGCTTTTGAATAGAGTCATTCTGAACTTGTGCCTTTTTTTATTAAGGTTTTCTGTCTTTGTTAACTGGTCTTTGTTTTATGTCATGTTTGGTTTTTTTATGTAGCTCCCCAGAGGAATTTCGAAATTGCCTTTAAGATGTTTGATCTGAATGGTGATGGTGAAGTGGACATGGAGGAGTTTGAGCAGGCAAGTTCAACAGCAGGTTGACTTCTTAATGCTGTGGCATGTTAGTCGTAAGTGCAGCACTCCTCTACAGCGTTACTGTGATTTATATTTGTGGTTCCTACTGGTTTACATCTTTTCCTTGCATGCTCTGCTGTGTTGCCTCAGTGTCTGCTTTTTTTTTTAAAACTGGATATTGTAGGCATAATTTTTCATTCAGCCAGGACAACTGTAGGTATAAACTCTGTTTTCTTGTGACATTGTCACTGAGGTATGTTTACAAGATGTCACCCCCAAAGTAGATCAAGAATTTTTTTCACTGTACTGGTGTCATAGGATTTTTATTGTACTTTCTTCCACAGCTTTTATTGCATTCCTTAATTGTGTTTGTCTTCAGAGAATAACCAAGGGTAGTCTGCTTCCAAGAAGAATGTAGGCATTTATTTCAATGCAATCTAAAACTGTGTTTATTGAGAGTGTATTTTCATTAGTTTCTTCCCCTGTTTCTTACAAGGTTTCGTCAGCAGGGAGTTTGGTACAGGCTTTTTAATGATCTTAGCCTGCATGTCTGATACTGGTGAGGTCCTCCTAGAAGCTAGGATTTGTGATTGTGTTAGAGTGAGAATAGATTGAAGGCTCGAGCTGTCAGTGGGGAAAAGATCTGACCTCCCCAGGCAGAAGTGTGTGGTTTTCTTGCCTGTGTAGAAAACAGCCTTAAGGCTTTGGAAACTCATAAGCCTCCTGAAGTGGCTGTATATTAGCAAAGCTCCATGCGTGTGCCACGCACGAAAGGAAAAGTAAATGTGTTTGCAAAGAAGGGAACTGGCCAGCTGGATGGGGAGTCACCACCTCTGTTATCAAAGAACAAGGTAGAGGAGATACACCACCAATCTACCTGATATTCATGTGGCCCCTGGCACCACTTCTGTGACCCCACGTCCCTGGGAGCTGTAGGTTTAATGGGCAAGTGGAAGCTGCTGCTTCCTGGTGAAGGAAACGAGGCTCCGTGGTCAAAAAAATAACCTGCCCTTGCAGGGTGTTTTTTTTTATGCTGGAGGACATGTGTATTTGGAGAAGGTGAAAAGCTGCGTACTGATATCTGAGAACAAACCAGCCCTGAATAATCTAGTTACAAATTCTTTCTCATCAGTTGATTGAATGACCAGTTGACTGCGGAAGAGTCTGTAAGAGGTCATACTTGGGAAGAACTTAAATAAATAGGAAGAACTAGTGGCAAAGCGAGTCTGTTAAATTTATTCCCCCTCTTCTGATCATTTGCTGTCATCCTCCTTAAATTATTACCTGAGGGTGTGATGTCATTTTTATGAGTTAGCTCCAGAGCTGTGTATAAAGTATCTGGTTAACTGTATGTTTTTAGATGCCAACTCTGGACTGTGAGGAGAATGGGAGTGTGTTTATCTCCAATACGATATCCCTTCACGTGATAGCTTGTAATGTAAAGCCAGGAGTTTTTATTTTACCTCGAGTGCAAATTTGAATACACAGCTATGGCCAAGTTATCGTGCTGTTTGGCACTGCCTCCCTACAAACTGCTGATTTAGCTATGAAAAATTCCTGGTTTCCTATTTTCCCGAGTGAAAAATATTGCTGTTCCTTCTATTTGCCTAGTGCATGAATATAACACTCCACTGCAGCCATCTGATAATATTTAACAATTCAAAAGGTGTTTTACAGTAGTTATTAGTGTTTCAGAGTGAAATCAATTACGGGGATAAATGAATTTAAGAGAAGTGGAGAACAGTTAACCACCTACTAAAAATGCAGTGACACCAAGGTACGAACGCAGGTGTCGTGTTTGGCTTTTTTATTAGACATGAAGCAAGAAAGGATGTTTCTTCTGGATGAACGTTTCAGAAGCTGTATGAAGATGAAAGTGCAAAATTGAATTAAATTATTTCAAATCATCCAGTAGGCCAAGAGAAGTTATATGTGCATTAAGTCGTATAAAAATCCTTAGGAAGAGGGACATTTTTTTGAGCTCGTTACATGCATCACTGCCTCCGTATAAAGGAATAAAATTCCCAGTTAGTGTCAGAATATTTTGGTGAAGACTGATCTTCCGAAGCTTTCGAGTCAGAGGATAAAGGAGCTGTTTTGGAAAGCAAGAAGCAGCTTATGATGTCTTCGCAGGTGTCACTAGAACTGATGTGCTGCGTTTTGCAAACAGAGTTTAAGCAAACACAGAGCTTCAGCGGGAAGCACATCTGTAAGATTAGACACATATATAAGACAAGACGTACAATAATTTATATTAAAAATTCCCTTTTTCACTCCTTATGGGAATGCCTCAGTAAGAGCATGAAGGATATGGCAGGGTTTGCAGGTCTGTCCCATGAACAGATGTACCTGGCAGGGGCAGCTGGAACTGACCCTTCCAGGGGATTAAGCTGTTAGAGGTGGCATCGTTTTAAAAGAGCAACATCGTTTGGGTTAGAATGAGTAGAAAAAGGAAAGAGTCAACGCAGAAGCATCATCTCTCCCCACTGACTGGGAGCATGTGGGAATGAATTTCCTACTCCTCTTTCACAGGTCGTCTTTGGAGACAGCCAACAGCAGGTCCCTTTGCTCATTAATGTCTGAGAAACCTTAAGAGTATTCATCAAGAAAGAAAATCACTTGCAGTAATTTAGCTAATATGCAAGTAAGTCGGAGGCTTTAACTACCTAACAAGAAAATATTGAATTTTTTCAGACCTCACTGAGGAGCCTCAGATCTTTTTTTCCCAGTTGATGCATATGGCTAATGCATAGTGCTGAATAGTTTGGTGCCTGCATCATTATCCTTTTCATCCTTCAGCATGTAAATTGTTAGTTTACTCTTTTCTTTTTAATTAAAAAGTTGAATGAATGACAAGTAGTAAACTCACAGCAGTGTTACTCATGATTTCTCTTCAAGCCATTAACTATTTTCATTGATTTTTTTTTCTTTTTTTTCCCCACTTGTCTGATGCAAAAGATGAAACAGATCACAAACACTTAGGCTGAAATACCCACAAAAGACAGTGAAGCATCTCTGTGCTTCATATCCTCGTATGATATCAGGAAGATACAAGATATCCTTAGATATGAGGGTGGTGGAATATTGGAACAGGTTGCCCAGAGGAGTTGTGGATGCCCCATCCCTGGAGGTATTCAAGGCCAGGTTGGATGAGGCTTTGAACAACCTGGTCTAGTGGAAGATGTCCCTGTCTGTGGTAGGGGAATTGGAATGAGATGATCTTGAAGGTCCCTTCCAACCCAAATAATTCTATGATTCTATAACGGATGAGCTGTGGGGGAGGACAGCACCGGTTGAGCTGGAGGACAACTTCTTGCAGTGGTTGCCTGCGTTTCTGGGTGTTAGGACTACCCAAAATAGAGACCAGCCAAATAGTTTTGGCTCCAGTGCCCACAGATGGATTTTCAAACTGTCCGACGCTTGATATAGATGAGGAGAGAAGCAGCGGGGTGTAGGATGCCATATAAATAACAGCCGGGAAAAGATGCTGTATCGAACAGTCTGCAGTGTGGTAAACACTCGCTTCTGCAGAGACAGGGGGCAATTTTCCAAGCTGGTCATAAACCACATTGCCTCAGACAGTTTATAAATATTTGTCTCCAAAATGTTCATGCAGAGCTTGCAGTTAAAGTGGAGCGCAAAGCAAAAGGAGGAGTTGCTATTTACAGTGCAAAAATCCTTCCTCACATCACAGTGCATCTTTAGAAGAACAAAAAAGCCCCAAAACCTTTTTTTCTTTTTTTTTTTCTCTGACTTGACTTGGTTTTCCTTGTGGAAGAATAGCCAGTACTCTGTGGTTCAGAGGCAGCATTTCAAGTGAGGTGAGCCCGGCACGGAGACCCGACGTTCTCCTCTAGAACATCCCCATTGGGGTTGTTCCAGCGCTCGCTTTCTTGTTAGGAAAAAAATTGAACACCCCGTATACCCTGATAATGAGGTTCTAGCATCCTTTTGACAGCTGGAGCTCTTGGCAGCTGTTTTCCTTTCTCTCTTCCAACTTTTGTGGGCCGGAGGAAGAGGCTGAAGACAAAGCAATGGTGCTTGCTGGGGCTTCGGGAATCTTGTGCCATCGAGGCTACACTGAGTGATGGATGGGTTTTTTTTTCCCTCCTCCTTTCTGACACTCATTGTCCTTAATATGAATCCTTCTGCTGCCTTGTTGGAAGAGAAATTATGTATTATGCAGAGAAGAAGCTTGGCTTCTCATATCCCAGCAGTAATCATTCAGGTGGGCAGGTGCTGGGAAGGGGTAGTGGGATACTTGGGGATGGAGAGAGGAAGCAAGTGTGTGTTTGACTTGGCTGCCCCCTTAAATTAGCACAGGACCCTTAAAATAACAAACTGATGGATCTTTCAGGTTCTTGCATCTTTCAGTTCCACCTTTTGCCATGTTGTAGTTGGTAGAGAAGCTGTTGAGCGTGTCCTTGCCCTGTCCCATAATGTCCGCTCAAGTTGAGCAGTGCCTTCAAGAAGGTACAGGGCACTGCTGAGAGCTCAGGGGAGGAGGAGGAGGCTGTTTGCCTGCGTGGTTTGTTAAAAACATTGAGATACTGCTGTTATTTTCTGTGTATTTTCACACTTGGCTGTCTGTGCAAATAGTCTGCTGGTAACTCAGATACTTCTGCATTATTTGTTATTCTGCTGGCACTGCTGCTGGGGTGGGTTTTGGGCTGATGCAGCTTGAAGGACTTTTAGAGATCCTTTTGCTCTGGTTTGGTCAACCTCTGCCTACAGCTCAGCTTTCTGCTGAGCCCCGGGGACAGAGCAGCTTCCAGCCACAGCAGAGGGCAGCAGGCAACAAGGACGGGGATGCCCTTGGGTGGAAAAACCCGGGGTTTGTGCACGAGGGGGAAGGAAATGCAATGTGAGCTACCTGGGGTTGGTGTGAACTAACAAGGATGGGCAGTAAAGTAGGAGTAGAAGCTCAAAAATGCATGCAGGCTTTTTTCTTCCCCACAGTTGCCTCTGTTTGCTCTCCTCCTGCAACTTCACTGGGAAGAAGCTGCTCTCTGTTGACCAGGCATAGGATCAGCGCTAAAATGCTCATCTGCAAACTGGGTCAATTGTTTCTTAAAACACGTTTTAAGCATTTTTATACTCTTCTTCCTTTAGAGAGGACTGAAAAAAAAAAAACAAAGCGTTAAGTTCAGCCAAACTTTTGGATTGTCACATCTCTTGAGAAGTATTTCAGGCAGAATTAGAAAAACAAGGGATGACATGGCCGAGCCTGGAGCTCTTCATACTGATACTTGGTTAGCCTAAGTCCCAGTGGTGATTTTGGTGCTAACGTCCTCCTCCTTGTTTTTAGGTCCAGAGCATCATTCGCTCCCAAACCAGCATGGGCATGCGCCACAGAGACAGGTCTACGACAGGGAACACCCTGAAAACTGGCTTCAACTCTGCGCTGACAACATACTTCTTTGGGGCAGATCTGAAGGGGAAGCTGACCATCTCCCACTTCCTCGACTTCCAACGCAAACTGCAGCATGATATTCTGAAGCTCGAGGTTTGGATTATTTTTAACGTATGGTGGAGAGGGCAGTGCAGTGTGGACAGGGCTGCATGACGTTTTCTGGAGGAAGAGCGAAAGCATGGGAAGGGTTTGGAGGGAATTACTAGAGCTGCAGCTCATAGCACTCACAGATCAAACCTGATGTTGAATTTCTGATGAGCATTTTGGTGCCTGTGGCACTCCCCAGGAACATCTCCAGCTTTTGTTGGTAGCTGCTCTTGTGGAGTTGCAGCAGCAGCTGGTGGGTCCCAGGTGTGTGTCAGTCCGTGTGGTGCTTGCCTTGCCAGCACCTTGGCACTGCTGATGGAGAGGGTTATGAGATGCTTTAGAAGAAGACAAAAGAGCTTGTGAGCAGTCTGTTGCTACCTTCTCAAGGACAGTTTATCTCATTCCTAGTGAGCAAGCTGTGCCCTGAATGATCAGGGTTCATAACCATTCCAAAACTCTTCATCTCTGCTTTTGCCCCCACCTTCTTCTTTGCTTCTCTGTTCTGAATATTTTGGCTGTGTAAGCGTCCAAGCCATATGTGAATCCTGCTAAATAGGTGGTCTCTGTTAAGCGACCGCCGTTATTCACTCCTGGGTTAACGTGCATTATAAGAAACGTCCATATATTCTGAGACTCCTGCCCTTCAGTTGAACTGAAGGTCTCCTTTTTTCCTTTCCATCACCAGGAGCTAGCAGCAGCTCCCAATCTCTGTCCTCCTAGTCACATAGCCGGAATTTAAGCATCAAGCCTCAAAGTTGGGTTCTTTCGACTAAAGCGAGTACAAGCATAGCATGTTGGCGCGCTCAGGTCGCGTGATCCCGCTAACAGGCAGCGTTTTATTAAGTTCCCATTAAGTCAGTCGTTGCAAACTTAACCTGACGTTATTCCTTTTTTTATTTGGAGTTTTACGAATCCGAGTAAGAAACTGACCCAAGGAATAATTTTTTTTTTACGAAGGTAATTGTCCAGTTCACTGACTTCATTTAGCTGGTCGCTGAAGTGGGTGGTGTGGGTGAAACACAAATTCAACGGGAAGAGAAACAGAAATCACTTTATCCTCGTTTGCCATCCTGCTCTGGTTTCCCACTGCCGCGTTTGCTCCAGGGATGAGCAACAAGGAGAGCATTGAAGTGTTGTTCCTGACCCTGTGCTGGAGTCCTGTGCTTCCTCCATGGGTCCCCACTTATGTTGTTAAAAAGATGCTTTTTTTTTTCATCTTCATGATACTTGTTCTTCTTTTCCTTCTGCAACAGTTTATTAATTTAGTTTTTAGTGATTTCAGTCAACTGTATGTATTTCTGGTGAACGTTAGTCGCCTTTCTAACAAGTTATTAATTGGGGACAGGACAAGATACTTGTGTCTCGGTAAGTTAATGAGTATCATAAACACATCGTTACTGAGTTCCTGACAGCACCCTTGAGCACAGCACCATGCTGTGCTTAGCATTTTTGATACTTGTTTTAACTGAAAAATCGACCTGTGCAAAGGTAACAGTTCTGTTCTGCCAAACTTCTTTTTTTTTTCCCAAATTCATGATACTGTTCATAGTTCTCACCCATTTGGGCAATACAGGCCTTTTTCTGTCCTCGGCATTATGCAACGTGGCGCCTTTCCTCTTCTGCTTTTCTCTCTCTTGACATGATCTCCCACCTTCTGTCCTTGCTCCATGTTTGATTGTGTTCACAGTTAAGTGGCTTTTCACACAAGTGTCTAGTGGGTTTGCATTGCTCCTTTTCCAGGGAGTGCTCTGATGAGCTCAGCCACTTAAAAACGTGGTAATTCACAGCAGAGACATCCCTCAAGTAAGTACCTTGACCCATGCAGGCCAGAACAACTGGAGAAGTGGTGCTGGAAAACACCATACCACAGAGCATCAGGTAACTCACGTAGCTGATTTTTAACAGCTTCCCTTGTTTTACGTGTCTGTCTGGCTAACAAGCCCATGAGCACAGTGGTTCTTCATCAGCCTGGTGCTCAGCAGCCCATGAAGACCATCTCTGGATCCTTCTCTCAGCATGGCTAGTGTTAAGGGGGGAGAAAGAAGGAAGAGAAAAGAATTGGTGGCAGGTCTGCCAGGGGCTCAGCTGAACTCTTGTACCCTCATCTACTCATCCTTTGCTGGTTTAGCAAACTTAGTACATGGTCTGAAGCTGGGATGAAAATTTGAAAACTGTTTTTTTTTTTTTCCATGTTCAGTGTCTGAACTCCAGAAAAGGCTTTGGGGAAGTGCATGTGAGCAGGTGTGAAGAATATCTCCTGGGGCTGGTGCAGCCCCTGAGTAACACAGTGCCTCTGTTCTCAAACTGGGATGCTTGATTTCTCTCTTCCAACAGAAATCTACTTTAACACCCTTTTTAAAGCTGTTTTTGGCTCAGGATCCAAGCATATCCGCAGTTAATACACTTGACAGCCGATTTCTTCTGCTGAGTGTGGAGGTGGAACAATAGTTTCTGACCATCCAAACCCACTTTCCTCTTACTGATTGCAGTTTATTTTTTTCTTACCAAAATATTCGGGCATATTGCTTGTTATGATCGAGCAGGAGTTTTCTCAGAGGCATTAGATCAGACAAAGCCCTGAATGTTTCAATGTTCCTTATGGCTGAAGTGCTGACAGCATGTTTAAGTAACCATGGCCGGGTGTTTTTTTATTCCCTTCAGCTTATTTTTTTTTTGATGAAAGCACAGTTTTCATCACTTTATGGAAACTCAGCAATCAGTTGTGGGAAAGGAAGGATGAGAGAGGTAACCACAGCCAGAGGGAGAGGAGAAGCTTTTAATGGCTTATTACAACTTTTGGTGGTTTGGCTACTTCGAGAAAGCTGTGGCCTCCTTGTTGCGTTGTGAGGTGGCCCAGTTTAGCTAAAGCTGAGCCACAGGAACCAGCCCACCGAATGGGGCAGGCTCCCAGCAAAGTCGTCAGCGTTTTCTTGCCGTGTTCGTGCTGCCTTGCATTAGCACCTATGGAAAGACTTCCGTTCTCCTTGTCACTTAATGTGACAAACGCTGACAATTTAGTCTGAACAGGCTTTGTGGCTGTAATGTGTCCTATTAGGACAGGCAGTATTTAGCTTGAATGGTGCTTTTTTTTTTAAAATGAAAGTACTCTGCAAGTTAAGAAGATGGATAGGACTTGACATCATCATTTATGCTATTTCTGCTTGTTAGTGCCTGTCCTTGATATTCCCGTGTCCTTGGTGGACCAAGAGGAGTCCCAGCCAGCCCATGGGGCTCTTCCAGCCCTAATTTTTCTGTGATTCCGTTAAGTGCATGTAGAAAAGGTGTGTTAGCCCTTTGCTCTCCACATCTGTCACCTCTGAAAGGCAACCCAAAACCTGTGAATAACAGTGATTTTTATCTCCATCCTTAGTCTTGTTTAATTTCTCTAGGCTTCTTTCTGCCAGCAGGTGGGATATGTGCCCGTGGTGTAAGACCTTAGTGAAGAATTTTTTTTTCCAAATTGGCTGCAGTGAGATTTCTATAGCACATTGTTTCCCTGGCAGTTACTCACAGAGGACATTTGTTCTCAGCTGAATTGGTGAAGCAGATACTAATCCACCTGGTAGGTGAGGGGCTGTCTCCCTGGCAGGAGATGCCACAGCTGGAGAGGCAAGGTTGTGCTGCACGGCTTTGAGCAGCTCTGCTTCTCAGTCTGGTGTGAACTGAGGTCTACGTTTTGAGGTGGTGGGATGCAGCTTCCCATGGAAGAGCTTGCCAGATAGGTCAAGGAGTCAGGTCCTCACGCAGATGTGTATCCTTAAACATAGGGATCTTTGTTTACCCAAGGATGCCCTAGTGTGGTCCCTCTCAAGCAAAAGGTCTTTTCAAGCACGGGGGCAAAGAGAAGTAGAATGGGATTGTGTGAGAATATGGCAAAGGTATCACATGTCATTGCTGCTATCCAGAAAAATCACTTATTTTATGCGTCTGTTCTGTAACAGGTAATGGGAGAGTAACTTCTTTACCCTGGAAACTCTTGTTTTCATGGCCAATGCTGATGTGATTGTTGCTTGGTTTGGTTTGTATGAAGAAAGGGTGATGGACGCTCTCCCATCTGCACATAACTCGTTAGAAAGTCCTAGATCTTTTTGGATCTCAACCCTATCTTAACAAATACTCTGCTTTCAGAGGTATTTCTAATGCTTCACAGTCTGGTTTTAGAATAACTTGCATCTATGAGTGCCTTTCTGTTTTGAATCCCAGTGCTAGAGTAGTTTATATCAGAGCAATCCTGTACCAAGTATTAAAAACTGTGTTGTTACCAGCTTACTCAAGATTTTTTTTGAGTTCTGCCATGCTTCTATATGGTCTTGCAGGCTACTACAGAATTTTGGTGATTTGTTAACATAGACAACAAAGTTTGCAGTAGTGAGTCACATATTTTTGTATCTGCTGCAGTGATTTAGATGAAAGAAAAGAGTAACTTAAATAAGTTGTTATGACTGGCCTGAAAAATGAAGTCTGGCGGTGTCAGATTGGCTAAGCTTTGTAAGGAAGGGCCCAAAACTTGGACTTTTTGGAGGTCAATTTGCTATCCAACTTCCACGAGACGTTTTTATTTTAAGTCACCCTTTTGGCAGTCTGTTGTGGTTAGCTGTGTCCTTTACCTGCTGATCTGCTCACCTGTCAGCTTCCCTGCTGGCCTGGCCACCATGGGAACAGTGATGGTGGATGTAACGTTTTCCCTTTTTTCTTATGAATTCCTCCTCCTCCGTGTTCTGTAATGGATTTTATATACGTACATAGGTTTGTCAGTTCTTTATCTATATCCTCTGTATCTCCTTTAGTCCGTTGCTTGCTTTCTCTTCCTTCACATAGTCCTTACATTTGAAAAGCCAAACCAGCACTCGAAGTTCAAAAAACTTCACAAAATACAAAAATTGCGGATACAAAAATTGCTTGGCTTCTTTGTTAGTGATTTCCTGACCTGGTTACGACGCTCACCTGGAGTGCCTGTCACTGTGGCATCTCTGATGTGCAAACGTTTTGAGGAGTGGTTTGGATCT